ATGTTTATGTTGAGATATCAAATAATATTATTAAAATAATATTTATTTTAAAATAAATAATAGTAATAAAGTTATGATTGTTATGAATATCATTAAAATAATACTTATTTTATTATAAATAACAATCATAATAGTTATGATTATTGTGAATGTGAATACTTTTTTAATAAATATATTTTAAGATATTCCAAAATAAAAAGAATTAATAAACTTTGTTGGGCTACACCTCTTCAGTATATTTATCTAATTGGATAAATACAAAAAAGATATCATGTACAACACTTAATCATAATAGAAAAAATTATTAAAACATTACACAATCTATTGTTTAAGCATTAATAGATAACCTAGCCTAAAGTATTGTTAATCTAGACTATTTTTTTAATTTTATTTTATATTATCTTAAACTTTTCTTCAGAGAACATGATTCAGATTTATCTTATCGATTCTCTACCTTGAGTGCAAACATGGAAATCTTCATCGTTGTTATTCAATTTCAAATGAAAAATTAATAAACTCCAAGTTATGTTGGAACGTAAGTCTTGGTATGAATTTTAGAAACACATGCAGAATTATTCTTTAAAGCTATCTTTTTAATATTAACTTCCTCTTATCCAACAACATTTAATAAAAAAATATAATATGATATCAACATTTCAAAACTTTCTGATGAACATATTTTCAGTTTACCTTCTAGTAAAATTTTGGGTGTGTTGATATATTGTTTTTATTTAAATTTTTAATATATTTTAGCATTTTAATGGGATCATAATTTTATAATTGAAGCCATGCACTCCTGGGCCTTACTCATTGCAAGGTGGAGCGGGCTTGGTCCACCAAGAGCCCTTAATTTATTTTCCAAAAACATGAGACTGGGCCTTCCCATCTTCAGATGACCCATTTGTTAGTTCCACCACACTTTTTCCATTTGAGTTTTGCTTCTCAGCAACTTAATTTGTCTTCAGCTTCCTTCTTGTCCCGAGTATCAGAAAAGCTTTTACTTGCTACACTCCAACAATTTCTTTCTGCACGCATTGAAATATTTGAAATGACCATTTTATCTTTCAGAAACATGACTTTTGATTTTCTTATTTTAAAAACTTTCTGAAATAAACTTTTTGGAATTTCTGGAACAATATTTCCAAAATAAATTTATGAAACAATATTAAATGCCTGTACATCAAATATATTTTGGAAAGTGATTTCCAAAACACATGAAAACAAACGTGGGTTTAATGTTTCAATAGATCTCTATTTTCACCCATAATTTCAAATAGGTCTCTTTCTTTTTCGGCATTTCAATTGAGTTCTTATTTTGAATCAAATAGGACCTTTCCGTCAAATTGAAATGACGCTGTTAACCTCCACTGCAGTGAAATGTCTTAACGGCGTCATTTCAATTTGACGGAAAGGTCCTATTTGATTCAATTTTACTGGTTTTTTTGTTATTCTAGTACAACCGTTATTTTTTTTTCATGACAATATATATATGGAATATATATTATAAGATTCATTATCTTATTGTAGCACTTTTTAAGTTCTATTATCATACACGTATTGATTTATTGTCATTTTCCTAAAATGACGAGGCATTGCATTCTAAGGATAGCTTGACTTAAATAAATATCATGGAGTATTTAAATTAAAAAAAAAACGTTTTATTTATTATAACTTCAACAATACATTTAAAAGAATTACAACTTCATAAAAAAATAGCCAAGAATAAAACAATCCTAGCAATTTCATATTTACAATATATAATTGTGAAAGAATTTTTAATAGTAATGAATTACATGGAAGAGTGAAGTTTGGTTTCTATTTTGAGAAAATCCTTGAACCACAGCGCAGAAAGCTTTGAGTATCTTTTCAAACCATTCTTGTAGTCAACAAAGTTCATTCCAAATCGCATGATGTAACCCGATTCCCATTCAAAATTATCCAAAAGAGACCAAGCAAAATACCCTTTCACATTTACACCATTCCTGTAATATCCAAAGAAAACACTTAGAAAAATTGAAATTGCGTGCAAACAAATTAAATAACCTCTTTAAATAAGTCAACAAAAATGTTACTTACTTAATTGCATCAAGAAGATAATAGAAATGACGATAATGATAGTCAATTCTATAAATATCCAAGAGAGATTCTTCAAGCGATAATGATGGATCATCATATTCATTTACACCTACATTAAAATGTAAACCATGTCACTAATTTTTAAAATGTATACATAATAAAATCCCATAGAGACAACTGAATAATAAATTTTATTATTATTTTTACCATGTTCTCGTGATATTGTTTATAACTTGTTTTTAAAAAACATTCAAATGGAAATAAATGTGGGAATAAAAGTTATTACCATTTTCAGTAATATAAATTAAAGGATTGTTGTATTTCTCTTTAGTATATAGTAAAACTTCACGAAATCCTTTTGGATAGACGTACAGCCAATCTGAACCAACCTGCATAATTAAGAAGCAAAACATCATCATTATTAATAAAAACATTCTAAAATTTAAAGCATTTGCAATTTGGTCACAAGAACATTACATTTTCACCGATGAGTTTTCCGTCCCGCAAAACTGCAATGACAAAAACATAAAACATGTAATTAGCTATTGATGGAAATTTTTCATATTAGTATATATATATATATATATATATATATATATATATATATATACATAAGTTAATAAAGAAGCCTTCTTACCTGAATAATTTACGAGGGGATCTGTCATATAACTGCCTCTGACATTTCTTAATTCTGGAGCATCAGAGACAAAATTGGCAGTGTAGTAGTTTATGCCAAGAAAATCAAATGAATTAATGAGCAATTTGGATTGCTCTTTTGTAAACTTTGGTAATCGTGATTTCACCAAGGAACGCATGCTTTCTGGATAATCTCCTCTTGTAAGTGGATCCATAAACCTGCAATAAATAAAGCATTACATGATTTTTACATAGTCATGTCTTTCTTATAGATAATAGTTTTGTTATAGCATACCACTCTAATTAATTAAGTAATGTTTAAGTTTAAGTTGTGCATGAACATATTGATGGAAGTACTTACCATCCAAACAAAAAGTCCATAGCTCGTTCAGCGGCCTTTCGATCTAGTTTGCTATCTGAGAGTGGTTCGTACCAAGTAGAATACAGTGTTATGCCTATTACACCATTCTGAAATCTCTGCATCCATATTTTTTTCTTTTAATATATTAAAAAACATGTTACACTGTAATAAACATAGGAAGTAGGAGGTTGAAATTTAATAAGAGCTTACCTGATACTTAGTCTTGTAGACATTAACAGCAGCTGCATGAGCAAGAAGTTGGTGATGTGTAGCCAAATAGGGTTCTGTTCCTGAATCACCACCATTGCATTTAGGACTCCACCAAGATGAACATCGACCAGGGGCCTTTGTCCCTAATGCATAACCCCTGTTGCTGTAAGTCCATGGCTCATTCAAAGTTATCCACTTTTTCACTCTATCACCGAATTCCCTGAAGCAAAGATCTGCATAGTCCTGGAAATCTTTCCTGTATTAAAATATATGTGATTTTTAGAAAGCTTCCCAAATCATTTTAGCTAAGCATTCAAGTGAAAATGTTAATTGAATTGCAAAACTTACACAATTCGAGGACTTAAGAAGCCACCGTATTCATCTTCTAATGCTTGTGGAAGATCCCAATGAAAAAGAGTTACAAATGGTTCCAAACCTGAAATTATTTTATTATACACGATGATTAGTATTAATGTGTTATTATCATCAATAACACTAGAAGTTGCTATATGTAAAGCATAACAAAAAAATCCATAATAGAGTTTTTATTCTGACCTTTTGCCAGTAGCTCATTGATAAGGTTATTGTAATAGTCAATTCCTTCTTGGTTTATACCTCCACTCAGCTTTCCATCTGTGAAAATATATGCAGTTTATGTAGATAAATAAATCTCTGTAATGAAACACCCAAACAAGTAAAGTTTAGTCCAAATTAATCATTGATCTATATTTGACTTACTCGGAAGAATTCTTGACCAAGATATGGAAAATCTGTAAGCATCCAAATTCATATCCTTCATAATCTGAACATCTTCCTGAAATATAAGATGTAACAAAACATGTTTATTTCAAAACGATGGAAAACAAAATAAAACAACAATTCTTTAAATTTTTTAAATGTTTAAAAAAGCAACACTTTATTTTATATTCTATGATGTAAATATCTGATAAGCTTTCAGCGCTACTTTTCATTAGTGATGACTGTGGATAAATCACATCAAAAGAAACAAAAACATTGAATCGGCAATATATACCTTGTAGCGATGATACGAATCAACTGCAACATCTCCACTGCTTCTGTCCTCTATCTTTTCTGCATGTTAATTTCCATATATAAAAACTTGTATAAATTTTGGGAAAGATCTCCGGTGCAACAATAAGAAAATCACACATATATAAATACTTACCAGGATATTTGTGAGTGAAGGTATCCCAAATGCTTGGTCCTCTACCACCCTCATTGGCTGCACCTTCATACTGCATACATACATAATCATGTGAACCGAAAACCATAATATAAAGCTGATAGAAAGAACTAAAACATTTTAACTTGTATCATGGAACATTGATAAAAACATAATCATTTTGTTGTATTAGTGTACCTGGTACGCTGAGGATGCTGTACCAAAGATGAAGCCTGTTGGGAAACTGTTTCGATTCAACAAATCTATTTGTGGAGTAAGGGCTACGCTTTCTGTGACAGTAATCAATGAGAAAAGTAGAGCAATGAGAGGTAGCACTGAGTATTCTTTGTATGCCATTTTTGGTTATTTGTATCTAATTTTTCTCACCAAATGCGTTCCTTTTATAGAAGAAAACCTTTATCTACTGTCATATCCTTTCTAAAAATATCTAAATATGTCTTGCTATTTCCATCCTAAAAGAATATTAAATCAGACAGCGATGTTTTTTTAAGGGTATAATATATATGGTCGTGGTCATTGGTCAGAAAAGATTACCAACTCGGCAAGGATTTTGATAAACTTTACTATCACACGTAAACTAACATGATAATCGTGAGCACGGTCGGAAACACGTATATCATTATCATCACACTTAGTAAAGAATAAGATAATTAGCGTTGTACCATTAGCTCTTTTTGCATCATATTACATATGTATTTTCGTTAAAAAAGTAACGTTTTGTTTAAATTACACATTCACTCAAGTTTCTATATATATAATCAATTATATATAATGACAGCAAAGTAGTTTTTTTTTT